ATTATATGTCTTGTTTATTTTGTTGAATCAGAAATTCTAGATATTTACCCTTAAAATATAACAGAGCCAAAAGGGGAAGTCTGAGACCAGAGGCAGCTTGTGAGCGGTTGTTAGTCTTGTCCCTCAACACCAGCGTTATAAAAGGTCCCACTGGATTAGCACTTAAAATGTCATGCATTTAAAGCACTTGGGTAATTTTTAAAAAGAGACCTTGGCTATTATACCACATACATTGTGATTAATAAATAGGAAAACAACTATATACAAACCACATGTGAATATTATCTACTACAAAAACGGCAATGAAATGAACAAAATAACATTCTCTTTTCCAAATTAAAAATCCACGTTTCATCTTCTGGAGGTCAGATGTGCCTTAGAAGGTGCAAGATGAGAGAATCCCAGGGCATTTCAGGGTCATTGCATTTGTAAAGTGGTCCCTTACTCTGTATTCTCCCAAGTGCGATGCTTTGAAATGCTTTGAAATTTTGTATAGTGTATGTTTCTGAACCTTAAATGTTACTTTTCTTTTGTACGAAAATGATTAAAAGGGTCCATTTATAAAACAAACAAACAAAAAAAGTCAATCCTCAAAGGCAAAGAAAACTGCATCAATCCAAGGGTTTCTTACAAAGGGAATCCTGTGGGGGCCAAACATGGGTTAACCTGAGTCACCCTCCTCCCACCTCTCCTCACAGCCTCCCGGAGACCATACAGCTGTTGAAAAGTATCTGTCAACAAAACTATTACTGTCTTTCCTGGGATCAACACTATGTCCTGGACCCTCAAGGTCAGCAGAGCTGCCTTCAGAGCAAAGAGAGGTGACAAACAGAAAGCTAGCAAGGCCAGTGAAACCCAGAGAATGCTGGCTGGTGTAGGGTCGTCGCTTGATCCATTCATTCTAGAGCAGCGGTTCTCAACCTGTGGGTCGCGAACCCTTGGCAGTCGAACGACCCTTTCACAGGGGTCGCCTAAGACCATCCTGCATTTCAGATATTTACATTACGATTCATAACAGTAGCAATATTACAGTTGTGAAGTAGCAACGAAAATAATTTTATGGTTGGGTCACAACATGAGGAACTGTATTTAAAGGGCCAGAAGATTGAGAACCACTGTTCTAGAGGAAAACAGGATTGATAATGCATGAGATGGGTTTTTTAATTTTTTTCCCCCTTTTTCATTTTTGTACTTTTAATTTTTTATGGAATCCCAACCCTACAGAACAATTGTAGAGAAGTATAAAAAGTTCCATACACCCTTTACCCAGATTCATTAATTGTTAGCAATTTCCTCCAAATATACATGTCTATCATATATACATACATGTCTGTCTGTCTTTCTTCCTTCTTTTTTTTCTTTTTCATTTATTTTCCCTGCCTTATTGAGATATAATTGGCATATAACACTGTGTAAGTTTAAGGTATACAATGCAATGATTGGATATATGTATATTGGAAAATGATGACCACAGTAAGGTTAGTTAGCATATGTATCATCTCATAGTTTTAACGCGTGTGTGTGTGTGTGAGGTGAGAACTTTTAAGATTTACTATATTAGCAGCTTTCAAATATGCAGTGAAGTATTGATAACTATGGGATGTTTTTAGGGGCACAGATAGCAGTCTGTTGGCCAGAATTCAATTTCATGGTCACATCAAATGGAAAGGGAGGCTGAGAAGTGTAATCTAGCCATGAGCCTTGGAGAAAAAAGAAAATAGATTTGTTGACTTGCTCATTAATCTTTACCACTTTTCACCTTCCCCACCCGAACCTGCTCGCACCCTCCCCACCCCTGCCATCCTCTCCACACAGATCCATACTTGGTCCCCATTTTTCCTAATCCTGGACTCCCTCCATGTCACCCCACTTACTCACCTCTTCCTTTTCCCAGATCTCACACGATCAAGAGGACTGTGTATCCTTCAAAGTTCACCAGTACTTTAATGTGGGGCTCATCCAGCCAGGGGCAGTCAAGGTGTACTCCTATTACAACCTGGGTGAGCAGCCAACCTCAGGCCTGGGGTCTGGGAGGGTCCCAAGGTTCTATAACATGGAGGTCCCAGGGCTTGGTGATTGAGGACCTGGGAGTCCCAGGGTTCAGGACTTAGCATCTCCAGGTCTGAGGGACTGGAGTTGGGAACCTGAGCCCCACAGGTACTGTATCAGGTGGAGGCCTTAGCTTTCTGAAACCTCTCACCATCTTTGCCCACAGATGAGACTTGTACCCGGTTCTACCACCCGGAGAAGGAAGAAGGATTGCTGAGTAAAATCTGCCACAATGAAATATGCCGCTGTGCTGAGGGTGGGTGCATAGGAGCCAGAAAGTGGCAGGCCACGCCCACTTGGTACCCCCCCCCAACCTACCCCTTTCTATGACTGTGATATGAGGGGCCCCAAAAACCCACACCCAGGGGACACCAAGAGGGATGAGCCTGGGGCTGACCACACCCATGGGTGGTGGGCCCTGGGTGAGAAATGGAGCTTAGGTCATGTCCCCTGTCCACCCATCCCTTAGAGAGCTGCTTCATGCACCATTCAGAGGACCAGGTCACCCCAGATGACCGGCTGGACAAGGCCTGTGAGCCGGGAGTGGACTATGGTGAGGAACGGGTGGGGTGATGCACGTGCAAGTGTGATTGTGTGTGAGTGATGGTGTGTGTGGCTGTGGTTGTGTGGGTGAGACTATGTGATGGCAGGTGTGGTCTTGGTTGTGTGTGTGACCAGCTGTGAGTGGCCACAAGTCCATGTGTTTCAAGCTATGGTTGTGGGTGACTAGTGTGTGTGTTATTAGAGGCCATGATTGCTGGGGAACCATGATTATGGCTGGGCTGGGGATGTGGGTGACTATGTGTGAGATGGTGTTGTGAGTGACTGTGACCATATGTGGCTGTGTGTAAGAGATGGTGGTTGTGGGTGACAGTGGACAGGAGTAACTGTCCTTGTGTATGGGATGAGTTGTGGGCGGCTGTAACTGTGCACATGGCTGTGGGTGACTATGTGAGATGGTGATTGTATGACCCTGTGTGGCTGCATGTGTCTGCTTGGGAAGCGATGTGCCCAGGTGCCCTTACAGGTAGGCTGCCTTGCTGTCAAGCCTGCCCATGACCCGTACTGGCCCTCCTTTGCCCCCCTTCTGCCCGCAGTATACAAGACCCTTCTGCTCAGGAAGGAGCTGTCCGATGATTTTGACGAGTACATAATGGTCATCAAGCAGATCATCAAATCAGGTCAGCCCTGGGCTTCCTTCTGTCTTTCCGCCTTCCCCTTCCTTCTACTGCCTCCTCCAACCCAGCTCAGCATCATTCTCTCCCCTCCAGGCACCGACGAGGTGCAGCCTGAACAGGAGCGCAGGTTCATCAGCCATGTCAACTGCAGAGCAGCCCTGAAGGTGCAGGAGGGGAAACACTACCTCATATGGGGCCTCTCCTCAGACCTGTGGGGAGAAAAATCCAAGTGAGTGCCCACCCTGCACATGTGTGTGCTCGCCCCACCCACCCTTCCAGGGCCCATCCTGACCTGCCGTGTGTCCCTCCTCCCCAGCATCAAGTACATCATCGGGAAGGACACCTGGGTAGAGCTGTGGCCTGAAGCGGACGAATGCCAAGACGATGAGAACAAGAAGCTGTGCAGGGACCTGGCCAGCTTCAGAGAGAGCATGATCGTCTTTGGCTGTCCCAACTGAGCCCCCCTCCAGCACCCCCCTAATAAAGCTTCAGTTGTATTCCATGTGATCTCCCAAAGTCTGGACGTCTTTGTGAAATGGAAAGCGTCAGCTCTGTTCCCTTGCTGCCTCACCTGCATCTCAGCTCAGTTCTTACTTGAAATCCCCAAGAATCTCATTTGCATTCTCGCCTGTGCACTTATGCCCTCACCATCCTCACCTGCAGCTCACCGCTCCCTCACCTGAGTTCTCACCTACTTGCTTGTCTTCTTACTGCATCCTCAACTGAATGTTTTCCACATTCTCATCTGAATTTTTACCTCCTCTCTTACCTGCATCTACCTCCTCTCTTACCTCGACTACATCCACCTGCTTTTTTCTGCATCCTCACCTGGCCCCCCACCTACATGTCTGATTGTAAACTTACCCTTACCTTTACTTATATTTTCACCTGCATCCACACCTGTTCTCATACTCCTCATTCACTGCTCACTATCTCCAATGGCATTCTCACCTGCATTCCCTTTTGTCCTCTAGGCTCACCTCCCAGTCAGCACTTTCTAGATTGGCCTGAGCAGACTCCTCCATGCTTATGTAGGACCCAGTGGGGAGGCTATGCCCAGGTGGGGGCAGTATGGGGCAGGCAGGGTGATATTCCTGATGGGGGAGCCTGAGTGAGTGATGAGAAGGCATGAGTCAGCAGATGAGGAGAGAGTGCCTGGGCTTTTGTGGTCACAGCATCACCAGAACTGAGTGGGGGAGGGGATGACAGCCATCAGGTTGAGTGGAACTACTGGTTGCAAAGTGAAACTGGAACTCCAAAGGCCTCATCAGTCTCTAGATCCTCGAAGACTGTTGAGGGTGGGAACCAAGCACAGGGTTCTGGATCCCGTCATCATGGGGGAAAAAAACCTACAGTCTGGAAATCACCACAGCACATCCCCCTGGCCCTAGAGATCCTGGA